TATAGTGACGGCTTGCTGCACCTCGCCGGGACTCCATCTTCCAGCCACCAACCAACCGTTCTTGGGCGTGGCCACGCCCCCACGCGTTTACGCCGAGAGTTCGCCAGTTGTACATAGAACATTGCCTCCGGCTATCCGCCTTCGACTGGTGGCAATGGTCATTGCTTGACCACGCCGGGACTCTTCAATTTTTTCAAAACACCCAACAATCCCATTGGGGTGACCATATTTGTACTTCATCCTTGAAGTGTGGAAACTGCCCCAACTGAGAACATGGAAGAAACCGGCTTCACGACTACTCCCTCCTACCTCCAAGTTGCGTCACATGCACTCCACGTGGACAGCGCGTGTTTGCTTCTACGGGCCGTGGATGAGGTCCAGTGGTGTCCATCGAACCCCGCCACTGCGAGGCCCCGCACCGGGCAGAGCAAGGTACTTAACCAGGCCTGGAACTCAATGCCCACCTCAACCTTTGCTAGGACCCCCGATTTCTCACATATGTAGCTGTGTAACTTCGCTCCCCCAAACTAAGCATTCTACGGAGGTAAGGAGACTGGCATTTCCAGGGAGAATTGTTCACCGATGTGAGCGACCGCAACGGTCTTTCTCTGAGACTTCTTCCCAGTGACGTTCGCTATTGCTGCTAACGAGAATTAAAGCATGCAGGCTCCTTTCGCACGTTGATTTAAGGGGTATACCGCGGTATCTTTCGTACCCCGTAGATTTAAAGTGTACCGGAGTGTTATTCGCATGAGACACACTAAAATTGCTTTATTACGAGATCTGACAATAAAAACATTGCTATTTACAGACATTCACAAATTAAATGCAATATAGGCGGAGAAAATAGCGGGGAGAAAGTACTGACTTAAAGGTGTCAAGTAATAACACTGAGGTACGGGTAGCACGAAGAGAAGAAAATCCAGCGCAATCAGTGAGATAATAAGGCTAACAAGGAATTCAGTAGCGATCAACGACGGAGGGAATAACAACGAGTCAGTGAGGTGAGGCAAATAGTGAGAATCCACTGAGGTGCGAACAATCGGGGGCCAGTTAAGCCTTCTCGGCAGTCTTCTTGGGCAGCAGCACAGCCTGGATGTTCGGAAGTACGCCGCCCTGCGCAATGGTCACACCAGCCAGCAGCTTGTTCAGCTCCTCATCGTTACGTACCGCGAGCTGCAGATGTCGTGGATTAATACGGGTCTTCTTGTTGTCCCGTGCCGCATTACCGGCCAACTCGAGCACCTCCGCAGCGAGATACTCCAGCACCGCGGCGAGGTACACCGGTGCCCCCGCACCAACGCGCTCCGCGTAGTTGCCCTTGCGAAGCAGGCGATGGATGCGGCCCACTGGGAACTGTAATCCCGCACGCGACGAACGACTCTTTGACTTGCCCGAAGACTTCGCCTTACCGCCTTTACCACGTCCAGACATAATTAATGGAGTTTCTGAAAACACGCATCGTTCAGAAATATTAAATTCATCCAGAAATATTAGATCAAAAACACTCATTCTCCGGCGAATTTCTGCTCGGCCGAGGGGACGGTTCTGGAGATTTCGATCACGACATACAAGAGAGTGCTAAATTTGGCAATGTCCAGCCCAACTTGCAAGGGGTCACTGGTGCGGAGCAAAGACCTTCTACGCGCGAAATATATCATCGACGATGCCTCGAGAAACACCAAACCTAAGCAAAACCATTTTGTCAGCAGACCAATAGCAAACCGTTCCCTCCGCGGACAAGAGCAATCAACGCACGGCTACCACCGAAAACCTAAAAATCTCGGTGTGACCAGCGGCCATAACTGACCAGTCCCCGCTACGTCCCCCTACAACAGGCTCTACGTACCAACAACCATATTGCATATCGTCGCAGCGCACAACTGATTAACGGAGCATCGCGCGTCAACTTAAATAGTGAGCATCGAGCGTTGGCAACCCATAAGCCACGCCTACCATAGCGAGAGTAGGCGGGACCAACGAGGGAACAGCGCTCGATGGCTGATATAAAAGTTGGACTCGTTCGTCAGTTTCACTTCATTTCTTGTTTGTTCACGCGGTGCGATGTATTGGCTCGGCGGCATTCGTCCAGCGCCGGTGTGGTCAATGGGTTTCGTTTTGTTGGGGCTTCTCTGGGTGTTGGTGGTTGGGCGTTCGGCGGATAGCTGTTGGTGCCGTTTAGGGCGCACTGAGTGGGTCTTTGTGTTGTGCGTTGATTGTCGCGGCTTTTT